CATTTGCCTACCTCTCTCCCCCCCCCCCCCCCCCCCTCTCTCCATCCAACCAGATAACAGCTCACTGTTCCTTAAACCCCACCGGAGCCAGAGTCTTCCTCTGTACAAGCAGTACTAGCAAAACTGCAGTTTTCCTTCCTTCTCCTCCCCTTCAATAGTGACATGGCCTTCAGGGGCCATAAGAGCTGCAGGATGTTTACATTCAGGACTGACTGCATGATGGACCACGGATCACCACAAAGCGGGGTTTGCCAGAACTAGAGGACAGTCAATAAACCTGTCACTACTCTCCCTGTTTAAGAGGAGCTTTGGGTACAATAGTCCAGGATTTTAGAACTTAATTTTTTATCCTTAAGTTCTCGATTACTCTCTAGAAACCAGATTCCTCACAAGCATCAGTGGATGCTCAGCGGCATCTGTCTGGACTGATGATGCTGCTAATACAGCTACAAGACAAGCTCCTGAGATACGTGTGCTTTACCCAATTTGACCTGGCCTGGTTTCTGACCGCTGTGCACCCATTATCGTTATTAGGACAGCACCAGTAAGGCCTGCAAAGACTGAGACCCCTCCTTTGTATACACAAAAACCTCCACATAGCCAGGCAGGGGGAGAATTTATAATTTAAATAGACACCAAAAAATAAAAAGTCCGTAGGGAAACTGAGGCAGAAGAAGGAGATGACATCCACCCAACAGGTCAGTGACTGAGGCAATGCTCCTCTGAGCCCATCTGCATCCTGGCTAGCATTTCCCCCGGGTAGCTGGTTTACCAAGCCGGATTGTGGTGGATTAGCCACATCGATGCAGACATCCCCCGAGCTTGGCTCGGTTTCCTATATAGCCACAGATGTCAGGCCCCGATACTCTGGTGTCTTCCCTCTTTGATTAAAGAGTGAATTAAATGGTCTTCTAAATAAAACACACGCTTTGCAGGAGAGTAAAAGTCCTTTAAAATCAATAGCGGGGGAAGGTGAAAAATCCTATTAAGAAGTAGAAAAAAAGCTACAAGCTGGGATGGAGGGGGGGACGCTGATCACTTCTGCCGGCTACAGCCCAGCGGGGATCAGCAGGGCAGGACGTGACACCAACAACAAGTTCCAGAGCCCCACAGGTCTGAACCCCACTCCTGCCTGCAACTACATCTCACGGCAGCCATCAGGGGCTGCCTCTCCCTGCCCGCTTTTCTTGCTTGCAGATCAGAGATTAACTACGAGCCTTGGGAACAGGGTAGGAACTGGTGGGAAAACAAGCAGCGTGCTGGCCCTCGCTGTAAGATACTGACGGTTAGAACAGGGAGGGTAATTTATAAGAATAAGCAAAGCTCCCTGTCCTGGTTTGAGGTAAAACAGAACCATTCTTGTTCAGTAACTTTGCTTCTTAGCTGGGCCTCTTCTAACTACTGAAATTAACAGCATATTGTGCAGACAATGTTCACTCTCTCAGAGTGATAAGACCGATGTTTATAGCTGATGCCCAGGCATGGTATGCAGAGAAGCTCTGGCTTATACTTATTGCTATAATACCCAAGGCCAACCAACAAATTTGTTATTTGCCCCGTTGGAGGGTCGGAAGTGGAAAAGCACAGTGGGGTCCCACCTGCAGGGAGGAGCGGACAGGACAGGAGACCCAAAACAGACCAACAGGGTATTCCACCCCATCTGCTTCATGCTCTGTATAAAAGCTGAGGGATCAAAGGGTCAGATCTTTTTTTTTTTTTTTTTTCGATGGCCAACATCTGAGGAGGACTCTGTCTCTTCATTTGCCTTTGATCCTGATCCTGAATGCAGATCCGGAATCCAGTTCCTGTCCGTCACTGAGTCCAGCCTGGGACTGCCCCAGTGCCAGTCAGTGTCATGATTGTCATCCTGGGAGCTTGATACGGTTTTGTATCTATTTCATTATTTCCTTTTCTTTTATTATTAATATTTCATTAAAGTAATTTAGTTCCTTCTAAACTCCTAAGTCTCTTTCCCCCTCCTCTGCCTCTCTCTTTGAAGAGGGGCAGAGGAGAGCATCTGTCGGTCCCATCTGGGGTCCCCCATGTCCCCAGTAGCCGATATGGTCTAAACCACGACACTCCTCTATGAGATTTAAGATGCTGATGAGCTGCTTGAACAAGGAGGAGAAGGGAATAAGGATGCCGGTGACCAGCTCTTGGGTA